CAAGACAACGAATGGGGCCACAGGGCCAATGACGGGGCACATAGGGGCTGGGGTGATTCCGGTCCGGGGTAATGACACACCAAAGCCACGTTATGCACAGGACAAGGACACGAGTGGGATCGATAGGTAGACACACAAGGTCATTGGACACGAGAATCCGACATCAAACAATCATAGACAATGACTTACACGAAGGATCACGCGGTGATCAAGGTCAAATCAAGAGTGACTAAAGAGAACGTGTTCACACAGGATCGGAAGGGGGTAATTGGGAGGGGGAATAACAGTGGTCTCGCCTCGGACCGAGAAGAGGGATTTTCTTCATTCTGTGGTTTCTACATGGGCCGAGACCAGTATAAACGAATAACTGAATAACGTTGGACACAGAGCAAAATACAATCCAGTTCTATGTTGATCCAAATGATTTATTTCAAGAGAAACACTACAACAGCAATCATTCATTCGGAGTGTTCAGTTTCGGGTTTCAGTTGATTTATTTATTTTCCATATGTTTTTTGGTTGAAAATGCCTTTGGTTTTTGTGTGCTTTTTCTGCGGTTTATACGTAATGCAAGCGATCAGACCGATGAACTCGATAACCAGCCCGACTATCGGAATAATGGCAATGATTTTAGCTGTGGGAAACCGGGTCGGGGGTGGGGATGAGATGAGACCAGATAGTCGGTGAATTGCTCGTGGACAGTGTCAGTCAAACGAAAAATATTTTGAACAACAATGAGTATTGGACTCCGGGTATGGTACACCAAAGAGAATGAATCAAATTATAATAAATCGGATGGCGAGCATTGTAGGAATCGAAACTGGTGCATGTAGACATGAGTGATGAACGCGTAATTATCAGAGGGGCTTTATTAGTGAGCGTCTATACCTAAATGGCTGATCAGTGTTAGTGAATAAACCAAGAACTCTATAGTATGTGGTGTGATAGATACTCATCACTCGGGTAACCACAAATAGACTGACGAAAAACCATTACGTCGGAATGCAAAATTAAACACAAAAGCAGTAAAGCAAACAAAGGTACAGGTAAACAAACCATATTTTAATTGAAAACAAGAAACAAGTGCAATCGGACAAACCAACACTCATGATAGAGTTCGGAGACTGAATTGATTGCTATTTAAATGGAGCCCATGCGTAGGCAGGTTACAAAATCCACTTGAAAACTGTCTCCCGTGAGTGAACATATGGTATTCATAGAATTTATGTGGAGAATTCAAGCCCTTGTTTACCTCTTTTTCAAAATGAGATGTACACATCAAACAAGAGCTACAACCACGGTAATACCACAACTCCTCATCAGCCTCTCACACATAGGCACTAGTTCATATAATTTGACTCATGTTTAGTTCATGTTAACAATTACTTTGGCACCAATATAACGAGGTAGTGTGAGATTTTAATCAGTTTACCACTCACATTATGATTTTTCACATTTTAAAAACAAAGCACTGAAATTTTCTGTGGTTTAGACCGTCGTTCGTCGGTCAGTAGTTCCTAAGTTCAAAACGTAACGCCATAGCACCATGTTGATAACTGTACGGTAGACCGTTTGTTTGTTTTATTATTCGGTACCAAACAAGAATTAGTCTATTCAGGATTCAAAAGTTGCTTCTTTGAGAAACAATGTATCTTAGAAAATAATAAGTCAAGCTTTTTATAAAAGTCTTTTGAGTAAACGCACTAGCACAGCTTCCATCATATCACCAATTTGTTGACACAATATTGAAAATTGGTTCTCGTAGCTCGGGTTAACTAAATTCCATTTCACCTGCTCGCCGATCTTGGCAACTTAATTGCAAACGTTTCATCACAAGCATTGATGCCACGTCGGCTGGTGATGAAACGTTTGCAAACAAATTGCCGAGTTCGTTAACAGGTGAAGTGGAATATTACCAATTTGTTTGTGCTGGTTTGAATTTTCCTGATAACCACAACTGGTGACCACAACCAGTTTTGAAAATCCAGTTTTCACATTCAATTGAATCAGTTATCATGTCAAACGAATCCATAAACGATGCCCCGGTTCACTGTTTGAAGTGATTGGCGATGCGGTCCTTACATGTCACCGGGTTCAGTTGATGCTCTCAGCCCTACTAATATGACTTCGCACTTTGTGCTCCCAGCTTGGTCCAGGATTCTCAATTTATAAATTTCACTCAGATAAGTCCATGAGTTTGTTCACAGACTTTCAAAAAAATATCATAGGACTTCAATATTGTCAATTTATGTTACATTTAAATCCATGGAAATTTTCCAAAATAATTGTTCGTTTCAATTGATTTTATTAGGTTTTAATGGCGAGTGGCCATTACTGTTCTGTTTTTTGCATGTGCTTGGTGTTATTGTTGCCTGCTGTCGATCGTTCATTTATCTTCATAGTGTAATCCGCTATATTTGTTCGTAATTATTTTACATATTCCCAAACAGTGCGATGCTTTGGTTAAATTACGTAGTGGGATAAATAGACAGACATTTATCGGCAGTTGCTTATTTGTCGATTGAGTGTCCCAAAATACCAAGGCAGGAATCATAACAAATACCGACAATCCGATGGGGAGTAAGGTTATTATTACATGATTGTATTTGCTTTTGGGTCTGCGACGTACGTTTCAACTAAATGATGGTAATTTCTGTGACATCATTCCGACTGAAAATCTAAGCACCTCACAGTCTAACGAGCCTTGCACCGGTATGTATCCGGATATTGTGATTAAGTGATACAGATGGATAATACTGTTGATGTTGTGTCAGGATGAATGTGCTATAACGGAACTATTTTCATCTATGTCCCCAGGGACCTAGATTACTAAGGTTCTTCTCCCGATTGATTATTCGAACTTTCATCCGTGGGTCTATTGTAGATAGACAAACTTTGGGGTGTGGATGTTTTGAGGGATAACTGAGTGCAACATTAGGGCTGTCCACGTCACTGGTTTTCTTTGCTTACCGGTTCTTCTATATTCACATAGCAATCTGATCCCTTGCAACAACTGACTTCCATTTCCAGCTACCACAACTTGCTTTGCAAAGGAAACACTCGTTATTTTAATCTCAGCTCTGATTTTCAAGGAAAGCTATTAGACAGTAACTGTTTTGTGCACCTTAAACGCTGGTTCATTTTGTTTCCTTAAAGCCTTTAGCAGTAAAAAGCATATGCTACTACCGTGAAGGATTTTTCTCACAGGGCAACACTAATGTAAAGATTGCATTCAGTAAACTGATCAGCAGAGACGTTGTTGAGGAAAAGACCACGAGGAGACGATTACAAGAGATTCGTCTAGGGGAACAACTGCGTAGGACAAAACATTTAGTACTTTTATGTGCATTGGTTTCGTTAGAATTAAAGTGGGGTATAACAATCGAGATTAATTTCTTGGCCTAAAACAGAGAGAACAATAATCGCTAGTGGAAATTGGCACCTTCAGTTTGGGAGAGAAATGTCTGGGATTGTGAGTAACAGCATTGACTAATTTGGCGTTTCTTCTGATTGGTATTAGGGAGATTTGATATATGTATTTTCATTTTACTTCCTTCTATTGAATATAAAAAGATACAATTTTCAGG